CCAATAAAAATTCACCTGCAATTGGGGAAACCCTGGCCCGAAAGAAATATATTCGCTTGCACGTAAACATGTCAATCAAACAATATGTTGCGAATTAAACTGTCAATGACACTCCCGACGACTTAATACAGTCTTGCAGATTTTGTAAATGTTGTTTTAAACAGCAATTCGGCAATTTTAGTAAAATTGTCCATGTTTCATCACAAAACCTGTTTAAACCATTACAAAGGAAACAATCTTTCGGAATTGTGCTCTCATAGATTATATGTGAGAAAGTTGGCTTCAAGAAAAATTCTAAAAGTGCCTGATTTTGTAACGGAATTATAATCTTCAGTTAATACATTACACGAGAAGTTTCAACTCCATTACCAGCCCAAAGATGTAGAAACATCAGGAAAGCGTAAACTGTTTAACTCCTGACCCGCTGACCTTGGCGCTAGTCCATTAAATCAAACCATAGTTAATAGAGGACAGGGTTTGGAAGACCGGCAAACTTCAAAGGCTTTCGAGCTAATTAATTTCAGATGTTGGAAAGGTACGTCACATGACATTTCGGGTGTATCAAATTCAGAAATTACTATAGCGTAGTATTACAAAAATATGATATTGTGCTTATAAATTTTAAAATAAGGCATTGTTGTTCTCGTTATGGTTCGACAAGTTCGGCATACGATTCAGAAAGAAAAATTCACCCAATTCTGGGTGCTGGAGACGCAGATACAACGACGGAGGCGATTTTCATCAAACTATTTAGCTGCTGCAAATCAACGCTGGTGAATTAACTGAAGAAATATCGCGTTCAGTTGAAGAAGTAAGTCCTTTATACTGTGTCCAATTAAACAATATGTAGTGAGATGCCTTAGACTTAATATTTGACTTCTATTTGTCGTTTAGATTGAAGGATTAAAGAAATTCCCGTGCGAATATCGACGCAGTATTAAGCACTCGACAAATTCTACAGCTAGTACTGCCAATATCAATTAAGGGAAAATCAAAACCCATGTTATATGACTTATCACGCATATGAGAAGGCATTGTCGATCATTCGAGAGGTAGAGAAAAGGAAAGAATATTTTCATCCATGCAGAGAAGATAAAGTCGTGCTTTTGATGCTGGTGAATATGCGCGAACGGTTGACTTTGCTATTACCAGCAGATATTCTAAAGTTATTATAAACACTGAAGAAACTGCATGCTTTAATACCAGTAAATATCTTAATACTGTATTATTATATAGACAATATACTGTAACCTAGATATGAATGTCTTAAACCTAAGGCTTATGTCCAATTGTCAATTACAAGTCCAGATATTGACGGCCAATATACAGTGATTCAATGTCTACTAACATGTGATTTGTTACTTTTGATCATTCTGTCACATAAAAATAGAATGTTATTCCAAGATTCCATGATATTTCATGCCCATCCCACAGTTTCCAAGACCAAGTCTTATAATATGTTAGACAAAGGAGATATCAAAGGAAATATCATACAGAGGAAATATCAAATTTTGATATTTCCTCTGTATAGTACAATATTGACCTAAGGGTGTTAAACTTAGTTCTTATTCCTCTCCAAATGCTTTGTAGACCAATTGTTGGATGCCAGAAGATTTTACCTATGTGCAAAGGATTATATACCCAGAAATATTTTTTAATGTTTGTATTCTGCTAGTAATTATCAGTGAAATCAGAAGAGTTTGGACCACCCAGCTTATGTTGCCGGGGAGGGGCCGTCAGCCCTGTGGGTACCAAATTGAGGACTTAATGATATTGCTAGAATTGCTGAATCGTGCTTTAGAAAGCACACAAGAATTAAGGCAAACCTACTTCTTTACACGTTGATAAAGTTATTAAGAATGTCCAAGCTCCTCCATTATCAAAAAGTTTGTGGAATGACATTATTGAGCAATCTAATAGCATTGCAGTATCAAAAGAATGCCAGTACGTTCTTGTGTTTTGAGAACATTGGTAAACTGTATGGCTGTTAAGTTTCAAATTTTGCCATTTGTCGTGCTCCAGCCAATTCTCAGCCAAAGCGTGCATGCCAAGCAGGCTGGTCATTTCATTGTTTAACTGCCCCCCACTCGAAGGGTACTTTTTGCATTTTCTGAAAACTTGGGGGGCCTTGGCCCCCTGGTTCCTATGCCCCTGGTTGACAGCCAATTTCAGATGTGAATAGTGTACTTATTCACTACGTCAGTGTGCTCTGATTCTAGCCGTTGTCTCTCAAACCATGATAACTCAAAGTTGAGCTTACCAATGTCTTGTCTATTTGAAGTGAAACAAAATTTTGTGTAATAGTGATTTACTGTATATATTAGTATAAATTTTTAAAAATTATTCAACTAAGGTAATATATTGTTGTAGTCTTATTGTTCACCTATTCATTTATAATCTGTTTTAATAATTATTTTATAACATATGTACAAATTTTGAAGCAGTGCTGTCATTAAGTTTACAAGTAGGTGGCCGAAAAATGATTGAACATTGAAGGCACATGACTCCTAGAGGGGTCTGGGTGCATGCCCCTAACCCTGAAATCTAAACAATTGGAAATGCCATTCCCTGATTTGGGAAGGTATTTTACACATTCCCTGCATTTTGGAAGGTATTTTACAGAGTTCTTAAGATTACAAAACATCCTATCAAAGCCTGACCTGTTTGAAATCATTTCATCTTTTGTTTTAATTTTGATGTTCTGACTAGAGGAAGTAAAAGGTTTGTTTATTGCTTCACAGTTTTGTTTATATGAACTTTGTTCAGATAGAAGTAGGCAAGCTACAGGCCCTTAATGACAGTTCTGGGTACAAAAACCCCACAAAAGTTCTCACTAGATTACTTCTGTTTTATGTTACGGCAAGGCCTTTTCTAATCCACCATACCATTTACTCCTCTGACCAGTGTGATGACCAGCAATGGTACCTGGCTCCAGTTGTCGATGTAGAGAGGTATGCTTTTCTGGGGTAAATTAAAGGTAGGAATAGCACAAGCTACAAGCCTTTTGCAAGTGGGAACTAAAGCAGAACATAAAATATCTGATTACATATACAGTAAGTTGACTTAATTTATACAAGTATTGTTAAGATAGTAATTATAATAAAATTCACAGCAAACAAGATTTATAATAACTGTAAATGGGGTTTTCATATACTATGACATGGCCAAACAAAAATCCTGTTACTTTATTATGCCAGTTTCTTGCTATTAAAATAGCCTTTGAATATTGTATAATACTTTGTTTACTGTATACGAAAATGTTTCTACTGTCCTTAGTGACAGTGTCCTGAATTTATGTATACCTTCATTTTATGAACACAAGGATTAACTGTTATATAAATATGACCTAATGACCGAAACGCACTTTTATGCAAATCATTAATATTTAATATATTTTTCCTGCCCTATGACCATATGGTTAATACAAATTTGATCATTTGATACATGAAATATATACAGTACTTCTGCTATAAAGTTGTAACTTTCAAGCGTTCATACCGAAATATCAATAACTCTACCAGAGAAAGAAAATAACTTACATGTTTCGGCTGGGTCTTTTCAAAGTGTCTTTCACAAACGTGAAGTGTTTGTTGAGCGATTTGATTTCTTAAACTTGCATCTATCTCTCGATCCAGCGCCCTTTGTGACAAGCCTCGCCAACGCTTCGCAAATTTTCGTCGATAAATCGTCGTCTTTTGTTGGATTTCAAAAAATACTGAGAGCAAAGTGTTTTCTACTAGTCCCGCAACTATGTATGGAGCAATTTGCACCTGATATTTGGATATTCTTTCTGTAAAAGACGTTTTTCAAGTACTACAGCCTCCTCTGTAATACAATCTCCTATTACAAATAGATTTTGATGCACACGTATTGTCACGTGACAGAGAACAATAACATAATTTGGCCACGCCCCCAGCTTCCAAACCCTCTCCTCTATTAACTATGACCAAACTGAATCAAATCGCGTTTGTTCTCCGCGAGGTTCTCCGGGTAGTATGTCTAGAACTGAATCGAAAACTGGGCGTAAAAAATGCTTGTTCAACAGCGATACAAAAGATGATCTCACTGGCCAGTCATCGAGAAATAGCACAGGTACTGCAGACAACGTGGATGCAAATACTGATTCTGACGATGTACTAAGTAAGCTCAACATCGACGGTTTGAAATCATTAAAAGTGCTTTTAGTTCATCCGAATGAGAAAATTGAATTAGAAATCTTGTTGTTTGTGGCTGGACCACCCAATGACGAACGCCCTTCGCACGTTTTCAAACCGTCGATGTTGAGCTTACTTTTATATACTGTAGTACACCATCAGAATCAGTATTTTATACATCCATGCACGTTAATTGTTTGCAGTATCCCGTGCTATTCCCTGACAACTGGCCAGTGAGATCAGCTTTTGTATCGCTGCTGAACAAGAAAAAATAGCCACGATGTTCAACAGTTCAAGATTAAAAAGCTGTTAAGATTAGAAAGTTGATAAGTATCAAGATTAGAAAGTTGATAAGCAACAATATTCAAATCAGGTCTTGGTATTGACCAATCAGCTTGACCAATTAGGTGATCGTATTCACCGTTCAGAATCTGAATGGCGTGTAGTCATGAAAGGTGAGCTTTCCTGCAGGCCCTCAATCCTACCCCGTGCCTGCCAAAATCCTGCCCGCTGCAAATCAGCCCCCCCCCCCATAAAATTGAGACCCAGCCACGCAGGCTATATTATACATAGCATTTGTAAATTTTGAACGCTGATTGGCTAAAAGCCGTCCGGGGGTCGTGTTTCCACACAATTTCTCCTTTTCCCAGTTAATATAACTGGTATACAACACGGAAAATGTTTTATATTTGTTAAATGTAAGGTGCCGCCACCCTGCATGAAATAAACTTACACATGTACAAAAGCGGGTGAAAATATAGCCTTCTGGTAGAGGAAATAATTAATACAGTATATCTAATTTTTAAGTATAACGAATTTAATTCAATTTCTATCTTTAACGAAAGTTTACAGGTTTGTTTGCTTCAATCTACCTAATGATTATACCTCGTTTGATTTGACGTCATGGCGGCCATATTGGCGGAATTCTGGTAAAAGAATATCATTAGCAGCTATTGTATTTAGAAGCTAAACACGTGGAAAGGAGTAGGCCGTATGCTGCGTCCTGATATCGCTCACTTTCATTAAGCATGTCTTGGAACTGAAATATTTTTACGGAAAATAACACATTCAAGCACGCTGAATTCGAATCCGAAAACTTTCCGCGCCGTATACCCGCAGTTTTCTCACAAAATGCTATTTTATCTTCGCTAATTTCACAACAAATTTTTTCATTGTTCAAACAAACGGATCGATGTGACGCTACACGATTATATCACCCAAAACGACCAATTTCTATTAACCGATCTTCCTTTTAACAAAAGACCGGTTTTGCCCGGATTAGTTTGAGTTATGCAATCATGTGCGTGTTGCACGCAAACAACATATTTTGTCCAGAACTTTGAGAAGGTGCAGATAACGCCTTCTAAAATCATCAGTTCTTGCGATATCTCTGTAAAATCACAAGGACGTTAATGTTAAGTATTTTGGCTATCTCACTGGCCTGAAAAATGACTATTTTAAAGCGATCAAGGTATTTAAAACAAAAGTAATGCGAAGCCAACGTAACGGCAAAGACAATGCTAAAGTGAAATATTGTCGATTGGTTGCTAGTAGAAGACTTACGACAGGATGAATCTTAAATAACCTTAAACTAGGGGAATAAATGTTCATATCAAAGTCAAAGACCAGTGCCAAGGTATAAAACCGGCTCTGTAAACTTACGACAAAGTGGAGAAATGTGTGCGTAACCTGTTTATTTGGTGATTTCAACGTATATGTCAGCCATCTTTCCAATAATAATCGCTTATCGCTCGCACAGAATAACACCAACTGATATAATAGTTCAACTGCAATGATAAGTTACCCCTCTTGAATTACATCTCAGAAACTGTGTTGGAAATGGAAATGCTGACCCATTCCATAAGATTATCGTTTTACATCGTTGTATAAAACATTTTGATCGCATGTAAGGAATTATTTCTCATCCCAGAGATATAGCCCAACGACTTAACATTGACGTCCCTGTGATATTATAGAGATACAGCCAGAACTGAGGATTTTACAAAGCGATATCGGTACTTTCCCAAAGTTGAAGGCAGGATATGTTGTTTACGTCCAACACGCTTAAAATTACATAATTCAAAATAATTCGAGGAAAACCGGTCTCTTGTTCAATGTAGAGACTGGTTCATAGAAATTAGTCATTTTGAGTTATGCAATCGTGTGTCTTCATCCATTCGTGTCGTTGAACAATGAAAAAATTTGTTGTGAAATTAGCGAATATAAAATAGCAGTTTTTGAGAAAACTGCGAGCTTACGGTGCGAGAAGTTTTCGGATTTGAACTCAGCGTATTCGAAAGCGTTAGTTCCCATAAAGATATTTCAGTTCTAAGACAAGCATAATAAAAATCGTTTTCTAGGCACTTTTCGAGGTCACAGCAAACGGCCTAGAGGGACCGCCCGCAGTCTAATTGTTTACGGAGCATGTTTACCTCCAACATGGCCGCCATATCTTTGCCTTTTAAATTCCAAGGAAATGATTGCAAACCACCGATTGTTTAGTAAAGACTGGTTACAGTCTGTTCTGCGCATGTGCGATCCTTTTTGTTTTGGTAGACTGCTCATCTCAACACCGCGGAAAAACGTCGGCCATGCGTCGGGCACAAAAAAGATGACGAGGAATTTAAATGCCAAATTGTAAACAAAAACATGGCTATTTAATGATTTAAAGTAATTGAAACAAACAAAACAATACACTAGACGGGTAGTTTAGAGATGAATAAAAAGATTTTAACATTTAAACTCTAAAAAAACAGAATTTAAATTAAAGATTACCGTTTAAGACCGGGAGGCGTGTGATCATTTCTTGAAAAATTGTCGAATACGGAACTTAAAGCAGAAAAGTTAGGAAAACTATAGAATAGTTGAGCATTTGCACACGATTAAATTGTAGAGTAAATCATTACCCTTAAATATAGTCAACGCAAAAATTATACATGCTACGCAAAAAAAGTTATTGACAAAAATGTAGATTATATGAACCTACAAAAAATGTTTGTATGGTTCAGTTAAAGAACTTTTATACAATAAATTTATCGACAGTGACCTTTGTTTTATTTTCTTGCATAATACTACTTCTTGCATTTGTAGGCTTTAATTTAATTATTTCTAGTTTTAAGATTGTCACGTTCATTATTCCGCTTGCATTTTCATAGAAAAGGCAAAACATCGAAATAGCTTCCATTTTGAGTTTTTGACAACATTCGGAACACTTGCCATCACGTTACCCTGGATACCAGAGCGTTCGACAGTAAATAATAAATTGAAACGCCGCGAAGGCTCTGGTTCAACGGGAAGCTTCTTTGATTAAACCGCGCCAATCACAAAACAGAATTATTTAATTAACACTAATTGTGTTTTGTGATTGGCGCGGTTTAATCAAAGAAACTTCCCGTTGAACCAGAGCCTTCGCGACGTTTCAATTTATTATTTACTGTCGAAGGCTATGGAATCCAGGGTACCATCACGTTCGCAATACAGATTTCAGTGATGTTGATGCATGCGCAGACGTTTTCCGCGGTGTTACTCATCTCTCGTTTTCTTGGTTTCCAGTTCGATTGCGCAATATACGCGCGATTCTATATTTGTTGATACAAGGAGTGGGAATACACAGTTTCGAAGAGATTTTCAATGATTTGTGACTTTTATGAACAATATGAGAAGAAGGAAGGGATATTACGCCAAAAACGATGCCTTTAATGTGTGTTTATAAAAATGCAATCAGTTTTATTCTTTACTGAATCTAGTACTGAGGTGATTCAAGATTTCAAGCACTATACATGTCTTGAACAAGTTGAACTATAAATTCAGAAATCCAAACTTTTCTCAGACAGTAAAGGAATATAATTGCCCTAGCTTAAAAATGGTCACAAATTCAAAGCGAAAGAGATCCAGTCTCCACTCTGGAGAACGAAATAATCAAATGTATAAACAAATATTTACCTTTATATGACAGATATAAACTTCGTCATGACGAAGCGCTTGGCTGAATTTCAAATAAACACACTTTAAAGGCATCCTTGTTGGCGTAATATTCTTTCCTTATTTTCATATTGTTACAATGATTTGTTATTAATCGGATTTCACTTCATAAAAGTCACAAGACATTGAAAACCTCTTCGAACCTGGTATTCCCACTCTTTGAATCAACAAATATTGCATCGCGCGTATATTATGCAATCGAACTAGAAATCATGGAAACGAGAGATGAGTAGTCTACGAAAACAAAAAGAATCGCACATGCGCAGAACGGACTGTAACGCGTCTTTATTAACAATTATGGCAATATTGAAGATACTATAATTCTAACTTGTTTGCTTGTCTTTCAGTTTTTTCAAGGTATTAACAACTCTTTCGATACCTACAAACGGATTATAGAAATATTAACGATTAACTACTAAATTGCAGTACCTACTGACAATATAGTAATGTGTCGGCGATTGATGAGAAGAACTATAATTAATGGTAACGACTATAATCCGCAAACAGGGTCAATGATCATCTAGTGTCGATGATCGGTGGCAGTAATTACTGATAGTAATCATTATCAATAACATATTATATAATACCTTATTAAATTCTAATCGTTTAATTGGCTGTTTATGGTCACGTGATATTGAATAGAAAATTCCATTTCCCAAGAGTCCAATGGAACACGTTCCATTGCACTCTCCGCGAGTGCAATGGAATAAAACGTATAGTACAATTGCACTCTTTGTGTTCCATAAATCGCATCCCTCAAAATGCTTCTCATACGAATCTATTAGTCTGTTCTGGACTTTTGGTATTATATAAAACAAATAATGAATGTTTCTTCGTGCAATGGTAAGAATATTTTCATTCGGTAAAAGATGGAATGTTCCATTCAACTCGGCTGTCGCCTAGTTGAATGGAACATTCCATCTTTCACCTCATGAAAATATTCTTACCATTGCACTCATAAACATTCATTATTTGTATATTATTATGTAATTATTGTTAGTCATAGCTATCATAATTAGTGAAAACTAGATATGCATGTATGCAGCAAGCCCGTGACCTTTTTCAAGGAATGAACTTTAATTCCGAAACATTGCTTTCTTGAACATGAAGTATTTCATGATTGAAAATTAAAACAATTAGTGGTTGCCATGGTAAAATTAAAATATTTTTGAAATAAATCAATGTTATTTGGTATTCAACAGGCTTCAATTTAATGTAAAATAAACGGTAAAACGTTCAGAAACTTAGCTGTAAAACAGGTGCTAGAAAAATTACAAATCTCCGGCTTTGCCGACAAATACATGTAATTTGCTCGAAAAAAACATTAAAATATACTTCCTTTAGGCACAAACTTTACTAGAATTAGATTTTGGTCAAGCCACAATTGCTGCAGAAAAAAGGCCCATTATAAACACACATAAAAACACAATGCTGGATGAATTGTCCCAAATGAACAATAATAATCACTGCAATTACATGTAAATATCAGCTCGCATAAAACACATCATGGAGTTATAAGTAAGTAAGTATGTAGTTGTAGGTAAGTAAGTACAGTATGTAGTTTTAAGTAAGTCAGTATGTAGTTATAGTATGTAGTTATAGGAGTTATAAGTAATAACTAAGTATGAGTGAATAATTATTCCATCCTTTCGTTTTATGTTTATTCCAGCGGATAATGTTTTGAAAACTTTAAGACATCTAAATGTTTCGAAAGGCGCCGGTCTTGATAAAATTCCTGCTAAAATGCTACGCATTGCTGCAGATATAATTGCACTCTCTTTAACTTATATTTTTAATCTATCACACATTCAACTGGAGTGTTTGCAGAAAATTGGAAAGTTATAATTTAATTTATAATTTATAATTAATTACACTTTGCCTCAACATGCAGCCTTGGAAACCGCAACAGCTACGGCCATTTGCTGCGGATCCATTATAATACATTAAGTTTAATATCAAATAACAAAAATAACGATTACAGTTTCCAACAAAACAAACAAACATATGCAGACATTAACCATATTAAAGCTACGTTTACACACCGCGATTTCCACCGCGTACGATTCACCCTGGCGTGTGTCATTGAATAAACACGGTAAGCTGGCTACATTTGAAATTTATGAATTATGGCGCCAGCACTCATTTTAATACGCCATAATACAAACCGCACCCGAAAAATCGCAGCGCGTAAACGTACCTTTTTAAGACATACAGACATTAATTTAAAAACAGCACATGGGAAGAGACAGAAGACTACGAGCAGAGCCACACTTAACACAAATTGACTTCCATGTCCGTGCATCTTCAGAGTCATAAGTTGATTTTAATGCACTCTGGTAATATTCCTACAAGAAGTGTTTATAGGAAGCCAGAGACGTTGTGTTCCTGCGTATATCCTTTGGTAGAACATTCCACACCCATTTTGTTCGAATCAAGTACGATCTAGCGTAAGTAGAAGTTCGACACAGCTGTTCCTCTAAGTTGTGAAAGTTATAGCGATTTATAAGGAAGGCAACAAACGAACTTTGAAAAATTATAAACCAATATCAATTCTACCGATAATAAGTAACGTCTTCGAAAAAGAAATCTTTACATAACTTTACAAACATCTAAACGAAAATTGCCTTATATCTAAATTCCAATCCAGATTTCGGCCAAGGCACTCTACAATTACAGCTCAAATTCAAATGTGTGATAACTGGTACGAAAATATGGCTAATGGCAAGTTAACGGGGCTAGTTTTCCTTGATATCAGAAAAACTTTCGATTCAATAGATCATGTTATACTACTTGAAAAACTAGCTTTTTACGGCGTTTCTCAACTTGAACTTGCATAGTTTCAATCCTACTTCTCAAATCGGCAACAACTGTATCAAGTAAATGGCTACCTCTAATAAAGGTGAAATCATTTGGGGGTGTCACAAGGTTCCATACTTGGCCCGTTGTTGTTCCTAATTTATATCAACGATTTACCCAACTGTACCCAAATTTTCGCCTCTTCGTACGACTCTGTTGCGCTGGCTAATGATATTAACTCTGATTTAGAATATGTCACAGAGTGGTTCAATGTAAATAAATCCAAATCCCATCCTTCTAAAGCTAAGCTTATTGTCGTAGGATTTAAACAAAATTTGACCAACAAAGCTGGTGAATTGTACAACAGCGTTATCACGAACAAGAACGTAATTTCATCTGTTGTCTCGACTAAATGTTTGGGAGTTGATCTTGATGACAGGTTGACTTTTGATATCAATATTGAAGAAATATTCAAGAAGATCTGTTTAGGCATAGGGGCATTGAGGAGAATTAAGCCATTCGTTCCGCAGACATCTCTTGTTACATTATACAAATCATTAATCCAACCATATTTTGATTATTGCTCTCCCTTGTACATGGGATACATGCGATAAAATATTAAAAGATAAATTGCAAATACTACAAAATCGTTCGGCTAGAGTAATCACTGGAGCAAGATATGATGATAGGATTAGATCAAGTGATCTTTTGGAAGGTTTAGGTGGGATAATCTACATGTTAGGCGGGCTAAATTGAAGAGTATCTTAATGTATAAAATCCATAATGAAAATTGTTCGCCATATTTAAGAGAAAGCCTCGTAAGACTTAGAGAACTTAATTGAGGCCATAATTTACGAAATTTTGAGCGTTATACTGCCCAATACTCTTCGCAATCAAACAAGAGAAGTCTACACTATCAGATAAAAACATATCGATCGACTGGGAAAGCAAGGAATGGCGCAATTTACAATACAGGTAATTGATTATAAAATATTGCATTAGTGTTTGCCTTGTTACACTCAAATTTCTGCGTTTATTTAACACGGATTAGGATATATGCTATGAGAAATAGTGTTACAGATAAGGTACATACTTGGTAAAACGTTTCTGCCTTTGGTTTTGGCTCAAAGTACAGTACGCGTGGTAATACTCGGTATTGTTTATACTTTCAGTCATGCAATTGTGTTTACCGAGCTAATGACGTCAGATAATGTATGCTGTGGCATAAATGTTTATTTTCAAAATGGCGGACAACTGTTGAACTTTTTATTACATTTTCTCGACAACTAAACGCGACAAACCGGCCAAAATAAAATTAAGTATTCCGTAAGTATACCTATTAGATATACGCAAAAAAAATTTTGGTTGCCAATGTCCTTTAACTGTCTTTACTTACTTGACTTGACTTCATTTTTCTTGTTGTTGGAGGAGGAGGGGAGGTTGCGGGTTCATATAATATTTTATATAATAATATATTATTTCATATTTAACAAATATAAAACATTTTCCGTGTTGATATACAGTTATATCAACACGAGTGGAAATTGGGAAAACGAGAAATTGTGTGTTTTCCCAACTTCCACGTGCACGAATGTTGATATAACTATATATCAATACGGAAAAAATGTTTGATATTTGTTTTATAATATAGCAATGTCAAAAGCCCGAAGAATAAGAAAAATTTCCGTGTTTACAAGCGGTGGAAAATTTCCCGTGTTGACATGGAGTTATATCAACACGGCTCTTAGCCAATCAGCGTTCGGAATTTACAAATGCTATATTATAAACTGTTTTATATATCACGCCTCTCCTGTGAATCAGCTTTCAGTTGTGCGAGGCTAGCGTGTTTTTATTTAAAATAAAATTGATTGATGATAATGATGATGAAATAAGAATGCTTGAAAATTTCGCTGATATGAATGAAATCGACGACACAAAGCAAGGAAAGTGTTCCCCAACATAGTCAAGACACCGAATAAATTATTAAAATCATCAGGTTTGTCTTGCACATATTCCATGTTTATGCCTTTGTTTCACGGTTGACTACCACTAAATCATGAAACTGCAAGCCTGTCTCCAGTTAAAAAATTAAAAAAGCGTTTTGCAATTTTGTAAACATTTTTAGGAAAAACAAAATAATTCGTAAGAATATAAACACAACTCAAATTGAAGTTTTGCAAAATGAAAACAATTGTTATTGACAAGCAGGAGTTTGACAAGCGCATGTACATATTAAACGACGAAAATCGTCCATTATACACTAGAGGATGACGTTGCACTTTGCTATGTGAATGTCCTTATTATCGGTACCCGGTTGGAAGTAGCCGAACGGAATTAGCACCCTCGCCCTGGGCTGGCTAGGGAAAACTCGGGGTCAAAACGAGTAGTATATTATCTAAATTATCCTTGTTTATGATATATGATATAAATAATTGCTGCTGAGGTATTTACCTATCTTAATCATGGCAAGATCACTGGAAAAAACAACTCTATACCAGCCTGGTTCACCACAACTAAACACGCGACCAGCATTGATATAAGCTCCATTTTCAAGCAATATGTCTGCAACACGTTTCTCTTCTTCAAAAGTCGGTGTATATAAATACTTGCGCAGATCAATCCACACGAATAGACCTGAACAGCCTGGCAAAACAGGAATATCGTTTCTTTCTAATACTTCAGTAACAACATTATGACATTCCCGGAGTCGTTTGTGGTTCGTTGGGATCAGAACATCATCCAGCCAGTCTATAAAGTTGGGAGGAAATAGCATTGACTGAACTAGCAAGAGATTCTTACTGGAAGTTATTACACAAGGTTTTTTCATTTTCCCTGCACGATTCATACAGGGTAAATAGATTCAGTAATTAACAATTATTCACCGAAGTGAAGGTGAATAGTGCAAAGATATTTATGGAAAGGCGAAGCGTTGAGGTGAATATCCTTGCACTATTTACCTACACTGAGGAGAATACTTGTCTTAGCATATACCATATCCAAACGAAAATGACCAAAAAAGCAACGCAAATAATATTTTTTAAAACTGCTTGTATTTCAGCTCCTGTAAAGTAATAGTTGTAAACAAAACAGTATTTACACGCTTTTAAACAAAATTTTATGGGTTTTTTTTTAGAATTGGATCAAAGAGGTGGTTGCAGGTATTCATGCAGATCCCGAAATGGTGCGAAATGGCCCTGCTGACCTGTTCGGACATTCTATAGGGTAAACATCAAATGGTGTGTGGAGTGAAATGAAATTTCGATTCAATGTGACTGATAGAATTGGAATGGTGTTGATAATGATGATTTTAGTGAATTATGTTATGATGATGCATGGACTGTGATGATTGTTGGTGAGGCTTGATTTATAACGTAGATATAAAGTGATGATACTGGTGATATATGAGTCGTAAAATGGAATAAGTGATACATAAGTGATACATAAGTCTGATCATGCAAGCTAAAATGAGACATGAATAGTAAAACTGCGACGTGTATGACTTGATTGATTGTTTTTGTGAGGATCGCGCAGGCATAACTTGGGTGCGTTTATATGCGATGTATTGTGATATTGCCAAGACCTGGGTGAATGTCAGTGTATCGCCACCCAGGCGAAGTCCCGTGTGTTTTGTATTCAAAACCAAGGTTATATTCTCATCAGTCTCCAACCATAACCGGGAAAGCACGTTTCGACCCCGCTAGCTGGTTTTGGAACTACGTGCTCGCATATAAATATTGATTTCTGTTCCTTTAATTCCTTGAGCTTTGGTGACAGTTGTACCCAGTGTTGAATGCTGATGTCGAGGCCAGCAGGTGCGGTGTGGTTTGTGATGTGTTTGTTGAGAATGGTCAACTGTCGTTGATGGTCATTCTTGCGGTGATCGAGTTCAACAAGTTTATTGAACATAGTGGTTGTGTCATTGGAAGTGATAGGTGGTTGAGGTGTGGTGGTGGTGATTTGGTGTGTTGGGGGGGAGTTGTGGTATGATTGGTTGGGATGTGATTGGGATATTGCTGAGTTGGCCCATGTCGGCCGGCAATGTTAGGGTTAAGGTAGTTTTGGCTGAGGTTGGGGTTGGGATTAGGGATGGCATTTGGGGACTGGGTTGGGGTACTTGTAGGTTGGATCTGGCTGGAGGTTGTGGTTGTGTCCATTGTGCTGGGACTTTGGGATATGTTGGTTTATTTGGGATATGTTGGACATGTGCTTGGGACTTTGGGATATGTTGTTGTTTGGCGAAACTTCAGCTTCGTTTAGTACGAAAACTTGCCCGTCTGTAACCAGAATGAAAAGGGAAGCCATTTTGTTTCTGTCTGGATGTAAATAACGCAAAGATATATCCGGAGTTGAATAACCAGTCAAATTGCGTGAAAATCACTAACTCAATGAGGTAAGATATACATGCCATGAAAAAATTCAGTGTTTCTGACACGTATATTAAGTCACCAAATTCGGAAAATCCATCAATTCTTCTATTTCTTACACTAGGTTTCGAAATAAATATAAAAGTTAACGCGATAGGTAGACCTGCTAGCTTAGACTTTGATTACATTATCAAAGTTAACATTATAAAAGAGACATACCATAATCATTGACGAGATTTTGTAACATTGCCTGTCGTGTGAAGAAAAATAACAATGAATATGCAATCAATCAACTTGGAATTTGTTTACAACTTATTACTGATTATTTAAGCGGCCGGGCGTAAATGGCTGTTTGAAATGATAAACTCTGGTCTTTCTATGCAACATTGAAATTAATCGTTCGTCTTTTGGGCCCCCCCCCCCCTTCCGGGCGTAAGCCCGGGGCAAGGGTACTAATTTCGCACGGCTATTTATACCCGGGAAAAGAAAAGCATCAGCTAAGTTTAAAATTCATCAACAATCGCGGACGCATGGCTATGTTTTATCGTGCGCGGGTGCATGGTCATCCTTACTGACATAAAAAATATAGTTGGCCTGTTGGCCTGGAGTGGACGAAGCAAGGATACAAAAACTTGTAAGAAAGCTTGGAAAATCATTTCACACAATAAGTTGTAAAACATTTTCATCGACAAGAATTGATTTTGTATAGGGAATCCGGACGTTTAGCTTTAGTAGTTTAGTTGTTTTTTATGTATGACTTTACTGTGTAATTTTAGCCTAAAACATGTACAGCTTTCCTTTTCATTCATTGCATGAGACGGTTTCTTAATTAGCTTGTTTCAAATTATTTTAATGAGCGCCTGTATGATTTACGTTTATTTCATTTCAAAGAAAAAGTAAAAGTAATATTAAAGTTGAAGATTTGTTTAAAAAAACGTTTTGCGAAGCGTTTCGTGTTGAATTTTGCCATAAAATAAAGCCTGTGGAATGCAAAATAACATACCTATACTTTATACTAGAAAATACATGCATTCAGAAACCCTCGCCTTGCTGACCAAACCATTGTATTTTCCGAACATGAAGTTCTAAAGTAGTTGTCATGGTAACACGATAATTTTTTAAGAATATTCTTACAAATGAAAAATCGCCTAAAAATATCACTTTTAATTACAAAATTATTAATTTCGCAACATATATATGTTAGGTATGTTATTATACGTAATATAAGCCTGAATTTAATTAAGGTAAAATTCAACCACAAACGCTTCGCAAAACGTTTTAAAGTGCTCTTTAACTAAACTGCCTTTAAGTAAATGACTTTATCGATAAACTTTGAGTTTGCAATAAAATGATTTCAAATTCTCGCTTGCAAATAACTTTGCTTTCTTTTCTATTTAAAAAATTCAATATAATAAAAAGGGGATCAATATTAAAGATACACTGAAATTATATTCTGTTTTGTTTAGTTGTTTCATACACGCAAAGGCCGTCGGTTTTAAAGCCATTATAAAATCAATATTTAAAACAAACTTACCTTCGTTAACGTCGGCTCCCTCCTTTTAACCTATTCTTTCGCAGTTGCTTTCTGAGAGAGCTTTTGAAGTTTACAAAATATTGCAAAAATGTGAGTAAAAATGAAATATATTCGCAAGAAATTTGTCAATCATGAATCATCAAATCAAGAGATGTTTGCTATTTCGCTGTCGTGATGCAGTCGTTTATGCAAACTTTAAATTGACCAATCAGTGTCCGCTATTCATGACAGTCCGCCATATTTTTGAGGTCAGTAAGGATGACCACCCACCCAACACCGTTGGTGACCCACGCCCGCGATAATTGATGAACTTTAGACTCCGCCAATGCTTTCGTTTCCCCGGGTGTAAATAGCCGGAGGAATTAGTACCCTCGCACGGCGCTTCGCGCCTTCGGCTCGGGGATTACAGTTTCAGAAATTGATAGTTCTTTAGTTAAAAAGTGTTAAAAACTTTCATTCGTTTTTTCCCGTTTTGTACAAAAGAATTACAAAGCAATATGGTGTTGGCATAGCATACGCGACGCGAGCAACACATCACCAGAAATTTGGGACATTTGGCAACGTCATTCAAAATTTTTATAATCAGCGGTAATTCGAATAGAATTGATTATTACAAAATGGTGGCAAGGTCTCGCAATGTTGTTCCATACCGTGTTCTACACAATTTATTAATAAGCTCTGTTGATGTATTGTACGACGACATTAAAAATAAAAAGAGAACCAAGACTGTTGGATTGTTCCAGGTAGAGCGATTGGTTGCCCGTAAATGTGATAAGGAGGTAAATATAAAGCTACATTTAGGTGCAAATATCTTCACTTTGAGTCGAATGTTGAATGCATATTTTTTGTTTTTAAAGAATTGTAAAATAAACGACTACATTTTATCATTGCTCAAATTGTTATACTTAATTATAGGGCAACAAATACCTAATAAAATGGGAAGGCTACAGTTCTTTTGAGAACACTTGGGAGCCAGAAAACCATATCTCTCTAGCCTCTATATAAGGTATAGTGCTTTATTATATACTATTATTTTTATAATAAAAACAAATCATATACGACATCGATGATATAAAAAATCCTTTTCTTGGATGTTTCAGCGTCGCTTGTGTCGTTGAAATAAAGCTGTTGATTTTAGCACAGAAGCCCATAATTCATAAAAGACATAATATAGTTTTTATGTTTAAAGCAAATGCCCTATTCTCATAGAGAACCTTATTCTCATGACGAATTTGTGTTAGAATTATTAATTTGATCTCCTTGACGAAGGCCTTTGCCGAAAACATTGAGAAATATATTTGTCTTTTATACCTTGTTTCAATTTTTCAAGTTAAATTATTTACACGTACACTTTCAATATTATTCAATATATATTTTGAGAACCCTAAAACTCCACAAGCGATTGTCGACGATTGTGTTGATAGGATGAGGAGAGAGGTTATGGATAGCCTCGGACACAAGGGTCCGGAGCAGAGACTGTCCATAGAGTTTCGCTATGATGTTTTCAACTCATTATTTAATGGCCTTGGAAAACCAGCTGAACAAAGACATTGGACATTGTACGAGGCCAAAGATGTTTGTAAGTGCAAGCTGCCGGACAACTGGACATACAGGATTAACCTGCATGGCGATGGGACTATGATGCGTTTCCCTGTTAAAAGGAAGATTTTTCTTGGCCGGTCGCCGAAGAATTATTTTAAAAAAGGAGAACTGTTTGTGGGAAACCCCTGGTACATATGTAGAAAAATTGTCAATAATATTTATTAAACTTCCATCATGTATTGATTAAATCATTCTCAAGCTTGATCACTTAGGGGGTAAATATACATAACATATTATTATATTACAATAAATTCTCTAAAAGTAAAAGGCCTACATGTATAGACTGTTATATCTTTAAAAATTATGATATTGCTCCCTTAACTATGT